AACTGCTGATGTCGACTGCAGCCCATCCGGAAACGGATGGGCAGACCGAGCGCGTGAACCGGGTCCTCGAAGATGTTCTTCGGAGTTACGCTACGTCATTCACAAGTTGGAGTGCATTTTTACCACTCGCTGAGTTCGCACTCAACAACGCCGTACACGCGTCAACAGGGTTGACGCCATTTTTTGTGAATTCGGCTCGTCACCCTCGTGTTCCTACTGTCCTGGCCGTGGGGCGACTCACAACACCTAGTGGCTCCACTCTGGGGGGGGGGTAAAGGTGATAAACTAGGATCGAGTGCAGCTCACGGTATTTTGAGCGCGAATGCGGTAACCCGATCCAAGGCAAAGACGGTCACCTTGACGCCATCAGACGTGGCGTCCCCATTAGCTCGATGGGCTGCGCAGACATTGATTGACCCGTCTTCGGGTAAGCGTTCGCCTACTGTCAACTACGCGCCGATTGAGTAGGCGCGACCAATTGATGACATGGCTGTGTCGGAATTTATACTCCAACGTCAAGCCATTACCCGATTTGTACGCGACGCACTACGATCTGCGGTAGACCAACAGAAGGAGAACGCTGACAAGCATGGCAGAAAGAACATAAGCAAGTTTCAGAAAGGTGACCGTGTATTATTATCTACGGGAGGTTTAAGGGATTCAGCGGTCACTAACCTGGGCGCGAGTATTCTCGCACCACGCTTCATCGGTCCATTCAAGGTTTTGAAGGCAATCGGCGGCTCTTATACACTCGACGTCCCCTCTTCACTGCGACTCCACCCGACTTCCTATGTCGGGCGGCTGAAGGAATATCGTCCGGCTACGCTTCACGGCTTGGCTCCGATGCCGGCTTCAGGAATCCGTAATTCGATAGGTCTCCCGTCGTGCTCGACGCGCCGATGACATGGGACGCGGCCACGATCCCGTCTGCACATGACCAAGCACCTCGCTCTCCAGGACCCTTATTCGTTAGAGCAGCTCACGGTTCGACTGCCGAATCTCACTCGAAGTCTTCTTCGCCTGGGCAGAACGCTCACTGGCAGCCTCATCTTCCAGCTGAGCATTGACAGCTCTGTTCAAGGCCTGATCAACATCGTCCTGGGCAACCAGGACGCCAGCATCTACAATCGCGAGGGCCCTCCTCCGCTTGTTCATGCGGAGGGTCAGGTGCGCTGGATTGTAGACCGCATTGTGAGTCACGAGGACCCTCCACAATCTGTACTACTGTCGGCTTATGAGAAGCGCGCGGTTCCATCCGCGCGCAGGTACCGAGTACGTTTGATTAGTTTCCCTCCTGAGCAGGATACATGGAAACCACGTACCTTGCTCCTTTGTGACGTTCCAGATATGGTTCAGGCGTATGAAGCCACGAAGTCGGGCTATTCTAAGGCAGGCGCGAACGCGAACGCTCTCGTGACAAACGAGAGCGTAATCTTTAAAATAAAAAAAATAAAACGATGACGCGAACGAGAACGATGCCGTGAACGAGAACGTCGCGGTGAATACATATCATCACGATTGCGAGGCGAGAATCGCGCAGCAGGACGGGCAAGCGAACGTGTCGCTGCCCTGCGCTGATTAACCCGCGGAGATTGACTCCGCTGTCGCGAGTGGTGCTGCCAGCGAGGCGCACCACGAATAACTGCGCTTCTCCGTTCGCCCAGACTTCGCTCATACTTTGCAATCCAACTTCGTTCGCGATCACTGAGTGGACACTCAGCGATGTGTCGTCGCCATTCGTCATGAGTTGGGCGTGGAGTCGAGTCACAAGATTGGCATCCGATTCCAACGTTGGATGAAGGCGCACCAAGAACGTTGTAGAGCTTCATGCTCGATTCCATCAAGACCTTTCCCGCGCAGTTTTCGAAATAGGCGGAAGTAGTCCCGCATCATGTCCAGTGAGTCCGGAGCGTGAGCTCCGGACAAGTCGTACAGCGACCAAGGTATGAGCTGCCGCGCCATGATGTTGGTTGATGCACTCCCGCTGACGTTCCTTGGGAGTGCTGCTGGACTGGGTGTTGGGTCTCCGGACATTGCTTGTTCGTTTGTGGGCGAAGGGTTTTCGACAGTTGAGCACTCACGGTTAATGAGTGCTGTCATGAGAAGGGGGTGATGTAATGGGCTACATTACACATATAGCATTAACACAAATAAACAATTACATATGTAGGCAGGTGCTGGGCCCGAATAGCGGGCACAGCGTGGTAATTTATTATTGGTTTATTATTGGGCCTAAAGTCCCCAATATGGACCAATGATAAATCAACCTGAAATTGTGTGGTTCCCGAAAGGCGGGAACACTGTCGTATTTATTACGACTAAAATCTTCGTAATTAGTACGAATTAAAACCAAAATAAAAATCAGAGTTAAATTTACTTAATACCTAATACTCGGGCTTGAGTCTTCCTCAAGCGCACGTGTAAGCTAGTGACGGTACGTTCTAGCCCCGTTACAGACACGGTATCGGGGTGCCCCCTCCGTAAGTCGACAGTCCGGCGCTGTGTGTGTTTGTGGATCTCCTACGTTGTTTGAGAATCCACTCCACCTCAAAGCAGAGGTGGTCCTCATTCCAAGCATTCTCACACACCCTTTTGCGTAGCGCGCCGATGGAGTGATCGGCGCGAAGCTTCTCTCGATTGGCGAGTCATAGTTGGAAGCTTCTACCATCCTCGAGCATCCAATTCCAACGTTGGATGAAGGCACACCTAGAACCTTGCAGGGATTCATACCCGATTCCATCAAGACCCTTCCCGCGCAGTTTTCGAAATCGGCGGAAGTAGTCTCGCATCGTGTCCAGTGAGTCCGGAGCGTGAGCTCCGGACAAGTCGTACAGCGACCAAGGTATGAGTTGCCGCGCCATGATGTTGGTTGATGCACTCCCGCTGATGGTGCTGGGAAGTGCTGCTGGATTGGGTGTTGGGTCTCCGGACATTGCTTGTTCGTTTGTGGGCGAAGGGTTTTCGACAGTTGAGCACTCACGGTTGGTGAGTGCTGTCATGAGAAGGGGGTGATGTAATGGGCTACATTACACACATAGTTAACACAAATAAACATTTACATATGTAGACAGGTGCTGGGCCCGAATAGAGGGCACAGCGTGGTAATTTATTATTGGTTTATTATTGGGGCCTAAATTCCCAATATGGACCGATAATAAATCAACCTGAAATTGTGTGGTTCCCGAAAGGCAATAATTCTGTTGTATTCATTACGACTAAAATCTTCGTAATTAGCACAAATTAATACAAGACTAAAATGAGAGTTGATTTAACCTAATACCTACTACTTGGGCTTCAGACTTCCTCAAGCGCGCGTGTACGATAGTGACGGTACGTTCTAGCCCCGTTACATATGGTGAGACAACCAAGGGGCAATCGCTTTGGCTAGCAACGCCAGATATAATGGAGCACCCTCCGACTATACTGATAAAAGTATAGTCTACCTTCACTGATGACAGTGAAAGCAGGTGCATCAATTACCTCACGTACACGTGAGCAGAGGAAGTCAATCAACTAAAAAAAACCTTGGTTGAGAATGTAATGGGGCACCCTCCGACTATACTGATAACAGTATAGTCTCCTTTACTGATGACAGTGAAAGCAGCTGCCTCAAAACCTCACGTACACGTGAGCAGAGGAAGCTTATCAACTAAACAAACGCTTAGTTGAGAGGGAAAAGAAAACTGTATTTAATATAGTTAACTATCTAATAAAACTAATCTGTTATAACCTATGTTAACTATATTAAACTACAGCTATGTATGTTGACAACTTGCCCTCCACTCATTGCGCGCGTCCATCGGTCATTGGTCAGCGCGTTGGTTGATATGATGGCCCATATCAACCAATGAAAGGGCATCTCCAACTTCAAGGAGATCTAGGAGCAATATTATTAGAAAAGGTAATATTGTCAAATATTATTAGTTATAATAATATTTTAATTGACACTTCTTGTAAGTGTCAATACTATGTAACAGGCTCACCCCGTTACCACGCGCGGACTAAACATATATGGACATCAGGCACTTCTTTGTTCGGGAGAACGTGCAACAATGATTATTAAGATCGACTACATCGATACGAAAATTAGCCTGCGAATGTGATGACAAAGGCACTTGGGGGGACCAAGACGATTAAGCTTCTGCGCGAGACAACTATTATCAAGACCAAGTCGACACTCAAACAAACACAGCATTAGCGGCGAGTAAGAGTGTTGAGTAAACGCCGCACAATGCATGTTTTAGCGGGCCGATGACGTCACGGGATTATGGTCATATTTACGAGAAGTATCATGTGATCGGACATTGATTATGGACATGTAGACATTCGTTCATTGGTCTAGATAGTTGCAGTAGGCTTAGAGATAGCAAAGGATAAGCGAATTAAGACATACAAATATACTTGTTGTTCGAAATTTCTCCTCTATAAATCAATATAGGACGACGAACAAAAATGTATAGATTTGATTATATAGCATGACGGACATATTTTATACTTATATTATAGTACAAATTGTTTCACAGAAGTGCGACACGCACTTTTCTGTCTCCTGGGCGCGCTGCTGACCACGTCGTTCCCGGGCAGATGGTTGCGTCGTTCTTGAGTCATTATTATTATATACGAGATGTTCTTATGTAGATCCAGCACAGGCTATTTATAGACGGTTTCTGGTCTTGCCAACTGTTGTCGTTTTTGGTTGAAAGTCGCGTTTGTTTTGCACTGGCTTCGATTTTTCACAATGTCTTTGTATTGGGTTGTCGTCTGTATGGAAGGGCCTTTTTCTTGTGCTCAGCTTTTCTTGAGCTTTGCAGATGCTCAGGCTGTCAATGCGTACGTCAAAATCTAAACGTATAACCAATACTTCATTCTGCAATTGTCTTCGCTCAGGTAATTAACAACTTAAGTACAATCGTCTGACAGCCTCGGGTCTTGATCGACGTATTTGTGTCAACTGTGCACTTTGATCGACGCTATCAAAAGCATCTAGATTGTTACTAGCAATGGAACGCTCGAAGGACGGCAAAAGGACGAAAAGCTACAACGGAAACGGATCAAAGCCCCCTCTTGATGACGAAGAGGCGCTTACCACGAAGCAGCAGACACTGGAAGACAAGCAGCCGCTTGTGGAACGTGAAGATGAATTGTTGGAGTATGCAAGCTCGTCGCCGCTACTAATGCAGAAACCTGTTGCGGCCTGGGCAGTTGGAGGCCTTGGCGTATTGCTCTTTTTGGTGGTGGTTCTTGTGGTCCAAAGAAGCTCGTTACAGGCCCCACGCGTGACCCGTATAGCGACCGAGGCAACCACATGGGTGGATATGCTACCCAATGATGTTATCAGTCATTTGGATAGAGATGTGGACCCGTGTGACGACTTGTACGCGTTTAGCTGTGGCTCATGGCAGAAAAATGCGGAGATCCCGGAAGACGAGTCGAGTGTGTACTTGTCATTTTCTGCTATACAAGACAAGAATGAAAAAGTGCTGAAAGACGTGATGCAGAAAGGTTGGCCGCTCGTGGGCGAGTTGTATGACTCGTGTATGAACTTCAATAGCACGAGCAGTAAGACGGCGGATGACGCGTCGTTAAAGGTTCTGTCGCCGGTATTGGAGCAAATTGCTGCGACGAAAAGCAAGAAAAAGCTGTTTCGATTGGCAGGAGTCTTGTTCAAAGAAGGAACAAGCTTGTTGACAAGATTTGCTGTCGTTACAGATGCTCGAGAAGCGACCGTGTACGTTTTGCATGCATTGCAGTCTGGACTGTCACTGCCAGATTTCCAGTATTATTTGGACCGCAAGAAGTTTGATTCGATCAGTGACGCGTTCCATGCGTATGTGGTGAAGTTGTTTGTGTTGGCTGGATGGAGGTCGCATGCAGCAGCATCGCAAGCTTCCACAGTGATTGGCTTTGAACAAACGCTTGCACCGCTTTTCGAACCGAAAGAAAAGCTGGAAGATCCTGTCGCAACGTACAATCGTATGAGCGTGGCCCAAGCTGCTGATAGATATCCGTTGGTTTTCTCACAGTTCTTGAAGGGTGCGGGGTTGCTAAGAATCTCACAGATCAGAACGCTAACGTGATCGTGCAAACACCTAAATTTTTTAACCGTTTTGAAAAGCTCGTGACTGGAGATTCTGTGACTTTGGAGACCCTGAAAGCTGTGCTGATGTACCAGTTTATCAGTGATAAGGCAGCTATTCTCAGTGAACCTTTCGTTCAGGCAAACTTTTTATTTGATCAGACTGTCAGTGGTCAAAAGAAGCGTTCCCCGCGATGGAAGGTGTGTCTTGGCCATGTTACCAGCTGCTTTCCTGATTTAGTGGGCAAGTATTATGCTCACCTTCAGTTCGACAAGGCTAGTGAGCAACTTGCAAGGAAACTTGTGGCGCAAATTCAAGCGTCAATGCAGAAGAACCTCAAGCAGGTGGATTGGCTAGACCGGCCCACTCGGCAGGCTGCTATTGAAAAACTAGACAAGATGACCAATCTTATTGGGTATTCGACTGTCTCCGAGAGCTTTCCGTATGAACTACGCGGCGATGCACTACTTGCAGACAATATGCGGATCATCAAAGAGTATCAGTTCATTCAATATAGGACAGATCGGTGGTCCAGTGAACCGTAACGAATGGGGAGTAACGGGTGCTGATGTGGACACGTATTATCAGCCGACAACGAACCAGATCGTACTCCCTGCTGGCAGCCTCCAGTCGCCATATTTCGCTTCTGAACACCACCCTGCACGCAACTTTGGTGCTATTGGTTGTACCATCGGTCACGAACTCACGCATGGATTTGATAACATCGGAGGATGCTACGATGGTGACGGCAGCTTGCGGAACTGGTGGAGCAACGACACAGCAAACGAATTCTCACGACGGGCTGATTGTCTTGTGAAGCAATACGATAGTTTTGCAGTGACGAGTGATGAAGATCAGGATAAGGTGCTGGGCCACGTCGACGGGACCTACACTTTAGACGAGAATATTGCCGACCACGGCGGCCTCAAGTTGGCGTTTAACGCATATGAAACATACATGAACAAGCAGGCTCGGAAGATGAGCAAAGTGAGCGAAGGTGAAGCGACAGAGCCGACTAGTTCAATGAGCCAAGTGGGGCGTAGCTTACCTGCTGATGTAGCCGACAAACTTTTCTTCGTCTCGTTCGCTCAGACATTCTGCGATAAGTCAAGCGACACCCTGGTGATACAAAGCTTAGCCACAGAATTGCACTCGCCCGCGCGGTGGCGCGTTAACGGCGTTGCAAGCAATTCGCACGACTTTGCACGCGTGTTCTCATGTCCCGCTAGCTCGCCCATGAACCCGAAGAAAAAGTGTCAGCTATGGTAGAATATTATCTCTATTCACCATAAGTTTGTTTTTAAGCTGTTCTTTGCTCTAGATGGGAACAGAGCGAAGCTGCTCATCAAGAAGCTTGGTTCTTACTTCAGCGTCGTCATCCTCAACAGCTTCTCCGCCAAGCCCAAAGCAGCGCTCTTTTCCACGTTTCGAACGAGGCCGCGGTCACAAGAACGCAAATCGCCAGATGCTAGAAGTAAAAATATCTTGGGACAAATTTCGTATTGATATCGACCGCTTGGCAGCTTAGTGATGTCTCAGATGGAAGCAATTGCAGTTATGTTTGGCAAGACGGCTCGCGTACTGCGTTACCATACATAATTCAAATACATTTTTTCGCCATTTTTAAGCAACGTTAATGATACTTTTGCTACGCTGGACTCTTAGCTTACTCTAGTGCCAAAATGGCGAGGCTGTCACCGACACTTTAGGGCGAGGCTGTCACCGACACTTTAAAGCGCTGGGGTCCATATAACAACCAGCGCATGAAGCAGCTTGAGGTGAAAGAGTTGTGCTTCAATACACCTGGGAAGCCCGTGTTCAATGAGTAATCAATTTACAAAGAGCAAAAATAATCTACAACAATTTGTATCCTGCCAGTTTGATTGCAATGCCAAGCCACCAAAGTGGCTTAACTTCCGCATGCGTCGGATTTTTCAACATTTCTCTCTGGGTCAATCTAGCGGCGCGCGCTATAAGCGCTGCGCTGAAGGCTTTCCAGCATGCACGATCCTTTGCACACAAGTGAAGGGAGTACAAGTTTGGAACCAGTCGACGGCAATGTCCAGCGGTAAGTTTCTTGCTTGAATCCCTTGGATGTCTATCTTGTCAACAGGTCCTACCCAGGGAGGGTCTTTTGTTGCTTGCACCAGGAACAAGGAATTACGCGAGCGAGCCTAAGCGGAAACTTCAAGCGTGGCGGCGTACATCGTGGAGGCTTGGCTGGCGGCTGGAATGAGAGCGGCCAGAGAGAGGTGTGTAGAGGAAAACAACCGTCAAGCACTGACGGATGCCGCGAAAGCATCCGTTCAAGGCCTGAGCTATGATCAAGCTAGCTCAAGCCTTCCGAGAGGGCGTTACCCCATTTTGACCAGGATTTCGACGTTGAACAGCGTTATATGTTTGCCCGATAGGGATGTATATCGCTCAATAGCACTAGGCCCATCCGTAAAGCACATCTGTTGAGCAGAACAGATACGCAAGCGCCAACATCGGCAGGACGCTTGCTATATAGGTTAGGCTTCGAATTGAGATTGGTGGCTGATTGAAAATATGATTTAAGAATCATGAATTTTAAATCACGCGGTGATTTAGATTTATTAAATTATAAAACATATAATTTACTGACTAGAGCCTTTTATATACCGCATTTTTACTTCCAACAACAACACATGATGTATATAGAACTAGTCAAGAACTATTTCAAAAAAATCATGCCACCTTCAACAAAGCCCTATTTTCTACAAAAAATCATTTAGGCACACCAATGCCCAGTTGACCGAGCGGACGATGAGCTCCTGTCCCTTCTCACGACTCCCAATCCGAAAAAAAATCTTCGAGCAAGGGCACCGATAACAGGAATGGTCAGGATGCTCCTAGCATTACTGTGTGAGTGAAATTAGAAGCAGTTTTGTAGTTGGGAACTTCGAGAGAAGTTGCCACGTGCTACGGGCACACACCTTTGAGCAGCGTGAGGAAGCGGTTATACCGTCCTACCTCCGCGTGCGGTTGGCCGGCGCTAAAGCGCAGTGCCAACCGTTACCGGTCGCTTAAAGCGAACCACGCAACGGATTTTTGAGACAAAAGCTTCATTTACGACACGCAAAAGCTTATTTAACTTCTCGTGCGCAGTGGACTATGCTAAGCAAATGCAAGTCTGACTAATATTTAATAGAAGTTAACTAAATATAAATCTAACTACTGATTGGCTAATTATGCAAAAATTGGATACGCGTCTCTTTAGAAGCGTATCCTGGCGTGCGAGCATAAATATAATCAAGCTCGCTGATGACGTCTGTCTGAAGCGTCACCATGACGCCCAGTTCCAACTGGCGTCATCTTTGTTGAATGTGAATCCATCCATGGATATCACATTCTTGAGGGTGGGTGCCACACCCAAGTGGGAGGTCTAAGGTATCCCATACCATTTTAAACCTATCAGATACTTAACGAACCCGTGTAACTATTAGCCCGTTACACCATCTCCCTCTTAAGACGATTTTTACATTTTGTAAAACATTATAAAGAGACTATGCCGCCGAAACTTGGAAAGGCTAATGGGTAACCTTCAAAGGCGCCCATACAGACCTACACAAAGCGCACGTGCCGCGATAAATCACAGCCGTCGCTAAGTGTCTTTGTGACAACGCGGCCATTTTATGTCAGCTTGTCAGCAGAGAACACTGATACATCCCACTATTGTGCATATGATGACCTGTCTCTCATTGTAGAATATAATGAGAACACGCCATTGCCATCACCTCAAAGTGGTGATGCGCACAGTGCTTTGATAGTACATATGTCCCCATTATTTGAGGCACCCTGTAACGGGGCAACCTATTACATGAGTAGTTATAGGGATCATACATAATTATATAAGTAGGAATACGGCAGTATCCTATTAGCGGATACTGCGCGTCATTTTATTATTGGTTTATATTTGGGGTGCCAGACCCAATAATTAGCCAATAATAAGTTGACTTCCATATGGAGTGGTTCCCATGAGCTAGAAAACATATTCGCACTTACTGCGAATTAAAACAAGACAAAAATAAAACAGAGTTATATTTACGAGTTGATTAAGAGCTCTTCCTCAACGCCTTTTTAGTGTAAGACGGTAACGGGTCCTTAGCCCGTTACACTTGGTAGCACTTCGTAGTCCTTCCAATGACCAGATTCGAGATGAACATGGACGAGTCTTCGGTGGCTCCAGCGGTCTCGCTGGAGCATTCTGATTTTCCACATCTCACCTCGGTGGAGTGGCAGGCACTACATCGCCTCGCGGTGGTGTCTGGTGAAACTATTGTGACGTCGCTGCTGAGCACAGCGACGTCCGATGATCAACGTGCCGCCATCCAAGACTTTATGGTGCGTGAGCTCGCCGAAGCGAATCGGCGAGTATTGACTCCCTCGCGCACTTCGCACCATGACGCTATCAAGATGGAGACGTCAACGTACTCCGGTGATAGTCCGGATCGTCTCTTCCTCAATCGCTGGTTTCGCGAGGTGGATATTGGAATAGCGTTTAAGATTAATTGACGCTTCGACGGCCAAGGTCAATTTCCTGCTGTCTCGGCTTGTTGGCAAAGCCAAGGAATGGGCTCTCGGAAAGCTCGTCGTAGATGAGTCGGCTTTTCCCACGCTGGACGATATCCAGCGTGACATACGACTGGATTTCGAGCCTCCTCAAGATGAATCTCGCTTGCGTGCAGATTACTTCTCACTCCGACAGGGCAAGCTGTCGATGCGTGACTACGTGCAGAAGACACGTCATCTCCCTTCGTGCATTACCACGCAGCCAATTGACATGGCTTCACAAGTCCATGTCTTTATTTTTGGTATGCAAGAGGGCATGACGCGTTACTGCCTCACACGTGCTAAACAAAAGTCCCTTGAGGAGGCATTTGCCCTCGCGCTAGTGAGGATTACACTGTCGCGTCGTCGTACCTGCACGCAGCGTCACAACATCCCCGGACGTCTGGCCCAGAGCCAATTAAAATTGATGCAATTGAGTCCTCTCGTGATTGCGGCAAATCATTAGGCCGCGACATTCGCAATCCTAACACGATGAAGTGTTTTCGCTGTGGTAAGACAGGCCATCGTGCGGCTGCCTGTAAATCACCAGCGCCGGTGACTATGAACACAGCTGTCTCACGAGGAAACGCTGTGTCGTCGGTGGTCCCGCTAAAAAAACGAGCGGTCCTAGTAGGCGCGGAGCGCCCTACTGGCAGAAATGAAGCCCTGAGTACTCAGGTGGAAGCTCGGGCTTGTAGCCCCAAAGTAATTCATACTCACTTCAATGCCACCACCATGCGCGATGATTCGAGACTAATTATTATTAGTCTCATCGTGTCTGGAGTGAAGCGACCACTTCGAGCGTTGTTGGTTTTGGGCGCTTCCAACAGTTTCTTTCGCTTATCCTGTTTGTCCCTTCTCCCGTCGACTGTCACGGTTCGAGAAGGTCCAGGTGACATCGTTGTCAAACTTGCCGATGTACAGCCAAAATGTGTCCCGCGTAAAACAGTGGTTTTACCGTACAACTTCGACGGTTTCCAGAGTAATGAAGAATTTTTGTTGTACGAGATGAACTATGCATTTGAGTGCATACTTAAGATACCGTGGCTGTCACGGTATCAGCCGAAGATAGATTGGCTATCTCAGTCTGTCAAACGACAAAGCAATTATGACGTCAGTAAAGTGTTTACTCATTTGTTGGTCGCGTCATCCAATTGGCCTCACGTCAGGGTCGTGAACGAGCTTGCTACAACTAGTAGTCAACACAGAGAGAGCGATGGCCCTCTGTGCGCAGTATGTTCCGTTACACTGACGGAGCCACAGAACGAAGCGGTCGAACAGCGGTTTCCGCATACACAGACATCGGTCGAACAGGGGTTCCCGATTCTCAACGAGGCGGTCGAGCAGGGGCTCCCGCAAACAAGTGAAGCGGTCGAAGACGAGCTCCCGCTTTTGATTGACGAGAATGGGCGGACTATGGATCCGCATGAGACCGACGTGGTGGAGACAGATCTCCCACGTCTAGAGGGGGGGGGTACATCATCCTCTTGTGATAGCGAAGTATCAGTCTCGAGCAGGGGCTCGAGACGCAAGAGAAACGCAAGAAAGGAGCACGTCGATCAAGGAGACGACGAAATTCACGTCAACATGCTGATGCATTTGATTCCGTATGCGCGCTTGAATATGTGGAGGGATCCCCACATCGTAGCCGCTACATTTAGGTAGCGAGCTCACCGTGCACTGCTGCAGATATCACA